TGTAGGTTATTCGTAGGTGTTACCGTCAATCAAGGAGTCTGCTTAGGCTGTCTCGTGTTCAAAGGCCTTTATTCAAACCACGAGGTTCCAGCGTAAGTACAGACACAATGTCCGGAGAACCAGACCCAAATAAATCTTGCTGTATTCTAACTCTCCGTCGTTGCTCCCCCCTTTATATAGCCTTCCAAGAGTTGAATGGCTCCCTCTACTGTTCAATCCCCGTATCTTACAACCCACTTCCTGTCTGTCATATGTGACGTCACGCTAAAACCTTCCCTCTTGATAGCAACAATCAACCTTCCATTTCTTCATGAAAAACATTTAACAAAGACATAATTTTAATACACTACACTATCTAGATGGAAAATGTTGTAGTTGGGGATGGACATTTCTGAATTTTTGGTGGCCTTCCTAAACCAGGATTCAGACACTGCTAGAACATCAGGATTGGCGGAGTGTGCTAACGCAGTGAATAACTCAAACTTAGGAAGGAGGCTTCTGATGTTAACATTCAAAAAGCCAAGGCTTTTACGGTTACAGAAGTCAACAAATGATAGCGCCTGGGGAGTAGGAGTGATACTGGGGGCTGCAGGGCCTGGGATAACCTCTACATCACCAGAGGAACAGAGGAGGACTAGAATAAGGATACGGCTAAAGGCTTTAAGAACTGGTCTTCTAGTGCGTTGGGTACAAAGAATAAAAGGGGCAGATTTCCGGGCGTTGTAGAATAGATTCAGGGCATTATGTACAGACAAGGATATGGAAGGATATGAGTACAGTGGAGGTAAACCTAAGCGTTGGGTAACAATGAAAGAGCTAGCATCACTGGAGGCACCGATTGAGCTGGTCTCTGTGTGTATGGGGGTGGAACAAAGGAGCTATTTGAGGCAGTTTGAGAGGGACTTGGGGCTCTACAGTGAAATTGTATAATAAGAACTAACTGGAACAGCAATAGGCAAGGCATAATGACATGGGAGAGAGGCATAAAGCAATCACAGGTGTTATTCGAGAGAGCTAAGACAACAACTGGTAATGGCGATGAAAGTTTGGGATGAGGCTAAACAGATAAAACAGGACAGGGTACCATGTAAAGGAACAGTCCAGCAGGCATCAGCTGTGCAGCTGAGTGATCATAAGGTCCAGTGAACAGCAATGTGAGTCCGAGAGCAGGTCGAATTGGTGCTACAGCACAGGCGATCAGGAAGAACGGCTGTTGAATTGCGTGTGCTAGCGGGCCGGGGCTAGCAGATGGATCTTCGTGGTCGTCGCAACGGGAAGCCTGTTGAAACCACAGACGATTACGTCGGCAGACCAGTCGTGATGGATCAGCGGGGCTCCGTGTCGACACTAGGAGTACCGTCCGGTTGACAGAGAGGTAGATAGCCGGGAGATGGGCCTGACTCGAGGCTAGCTCAAGGCTGATTAGCCAACCACAACATCCATTCGGTTGCAGCTAGCTAGTTGCGATGATCCGGTGTTAAAGGTCCAGTGATTCCGGCAGAGAATCCGATATGTTCTGGGTCAATAACGCACTGTGCAGACTGGCCGATAATAGTCCAGGCTAGAGCTGGCTGGTAGGTAGTGCAGGCCACGGACAATGGTGAAAAAACCGCTAACGGTGGCTAATAGCAAGTAGCTAGTTAGCTGGCTACTCCCGTCCGGTAGACAGAGAGGTAGATAGCCGGGATATGGGCCTGGCTCGAGGCTAGCTCAAGGCTAACTGGTGCTTGCTTCGGGGGCAGTGGTGATTAGCCAACAGCAACATCCATTCGGTTGCGGCTAGCTGGTTGCGATCCGGTGTTAAGGTCCAGTGATTCAGTTATTCCGTCAGAAAATCTGATGTTCTGGGTGAAAACCGCTAACGGTGCCTAATAGCAAGTAGCTAGTTAGCTGGCTAGCTAGTTTCAACTGGAGATTCTAGATAAAAGGTAAGTAAATAATAGAATCCGTTCCACATTGAGTGAGGTGGGTTGCAGGAAAGTATATTTAGTAGAAGGATGAAAATAGGGAAATATATACAACAAAAGACAAAAAGAAGAAAAACAGGCTATTTACATGGACACACAACAGAGTACACAACCGCACTGCTACGCCATCTTGGATAAGATGGCCAATCAGGCCTTTATGGTAGAGTAGCCAGACGGGAGCCACTCCTCAGTAAAAGGCACAAGACAGCCCACTTGGAGTTTGTCAAATGGCACCTAAAGGACTCTGACCATGAGAAACAAGATTCTCTGGTCTGATGAAACCAAGATTGAACTCTTTGGAATTCTGAATGCGCCAGCATCACGTCTGGAGAATCCGTGGCACACGCCAGCCCTATGAGGTGTTTGGTAGTGATGAGAAGTCCATTAGGTTGGGGTGGCTGAAGATTCATGTGATTTTGTGTTATGTTGTGGGATGTTTTTTGCGGAAGGGACATTCGCGGAACCACAGTTCGAGGATCAATCGGAAGATGAGACGGTGGCAATTAGACATATGAGTATCCTGCGTGAAAAACCTGGGTGCCTCCACAGAACGCTAAGGCCCTCAGACCTGGGCAAAGGATTTTCACTTCACAGGAACAACAACCCGAAAGGGCACCAGCCACATGACAAAACATGGAGTGGAGCATTCGGGAGATAAGGCTCTGAAAGGTCCTTGAGAGGCCCAGCCAGAGCCCGCACTTCACGGAAACCCGATCGAACATCTAGTGGAGAGCGACCTGAAAATAGCTGTGCAGCCAGACGCTCCCCATCCAAATGAACAGAGTTCAGAGGTCTGCATGAAGATATGGAGAAAAACTCCCCGACTGCCAAAAACAGCGGGTGCCAAGCTTTTGTAGCGCAAACCACACGGAAGTCTAAGTATGAGTCAAGGGTGCTGAATACGTGACTGTATGTAAATGCAATATTTCAGTTCTTTATTTTAGTAGTTAATTATTTTAATACATTTGCTAACATTTCTAAAAACATATTTTCGTTTTGTCATTATGGGGTACTGTGTGTAGATTGATGAGGAGATGTTATTTTAGAATAAGGCTGTAACGTAACAAAGTGGAAAAAGTAAAGGGGTCTGAATACTTTCCGAATGCACTGTATCCAACATATTAGCCCAACACATTTATAGATTTCTGAAATCCTCAGATGTTTCCTAATCACACAACATTGAATTGTCATTGGAATAAAATTAGGACTATAAGAATCAGGGGCACAACTTTGTTTTTTTAATCCAGTCTGATAAACACACCAAACAGCCTACCCAACCGCTCGGAGGCGTCTGCATGGTCCTAAATCACACTGTTTCCTCATCTTGTATCACATTCCAATTATAAAACTGTGGGGGGACAAAATGCAATTTCAGAATGTGCCACCCCAGAATGTGCCACCCCCAGAATGATGATTTCAGAAATGTATCATGTGTTGGGCTAATATGTCGAAAGAGGTTTCAGCAGATGGAAATGCAAAAAGTTTCCCACCCTAACTGAAAAATACTGTCGGCTGCAACTGTGATAAAGCCTGTTAAAACAGTGTACTGTAAGTGTATATTTTCCGTTTGTGAAATTATTTTGCCGTGATATGAAATTAAAGGGCTTTATGTTTCTAGAACGGTATAGCAACTAAGAATCAATTCACGTTTAGATGGAGTAGTGTTTGGCTGTTTTTGCTACCAGAGCCAGTGTCGTAGTAAATATATTTACTCGTAGTGAATATGAATGTTATAGATGTGTAAGATGTTGTGCAAAGACCTATTTAGGTCAGGAGCTTGTTTTCAATAAATGCTGTTCCTATGCAAGAACAATGGACAGAGGACCATATCTTGTCACCAGGTGGCCAAGGACAACACCCACGCCACAGGCCACAATCACTTGCTGCTCCCCACGAGTTTCCCTTGAGACACACACACACACACACACACACACACATCTCACTGTGGACGCACACTCATTCTCAACTTGACACACATACACACACACACACACACACACATCTCACTGTGGACGCACACACATTCTCAACTCCCCTTCTACTGGTCGGGTGCCAAGGGCAGAGGACTCTGCCGTGCACCAATGGGGCATCTGCTCTGGACAGAGCAGACCCGCCTCCTACGCCTCGGGAACCAATCAAGGGACTAGAAGAAGGACCCCTTCCTTTATGTTACATTGTATAAAATAATGCTGTAACTCTGTTTATTCATCCCTTCTCAACTGTCTCCTTAAGAGGCAATTGGTTGGGTCCATGCATGTAGCTTAACAGTACCAGCTATCTCTGTTTTAATAAACTGCCTTTTGCTTAAACCTAATTCCACTCTGTCTAGCGTCGATGGTTTGTACTCCCTCTCCTAATTATGGTTTCACCAACACCAGTCTACCTCTGAAAATAACATGTAAGGTCCTTATAGGTCCATATAAGGCTCTACTACACTCCTTAAAGCTAGAATCCAAAATTAAAACAACTGTTACTGTAGGCTGTACAGTTAGCTAGACTTCAAATTTACTATGCCAAAATGGATAATTAGTCTAGTTAACAGTAGGCTATAAATCACTTCTAGGCAATTTAAATATTTGGTAGCTTTTCGCATACATGTTGTCACTATGCCCTGGTGTCGTGCATGTGTGGACCCTATCAGAAAAGCCCCCCTCTTCGAATACTGATGCACATTTATTTGATATACTACGGTACACCCTGACCGGAAGCCTCGGGCACAAACATTCTGCGCACCGCCACCCTATATCGCTATTGCGGTTGATAAGGAATGTCAAACAATGAATAAACAATTCGTAGACTTGATTTACTAAATGTGTACGATAGTGCCTGGTTATTGGAGACATTCTGTGAAGCATCCCCTTCCCCTTGTAACAGCAACCCTCGTGTTGCCGTAGAAACAAATATATTGGAGGTTGCAGACTCGACATTGACAGATACAGTGTGCATGCTTGTGTAGCCAACAGTGCAACATCCTTGGTTTCTATTGTTTCTAGCACCCTCGTTAAAATGAGCGAATATTTTTCCCTTTCAGATTGTGATGTCATTGGTTTTGATTTGGACCACACTCTCTGTCGCTACCATTTGAAGGAGACCTCTAGGGTGAGTTTATTTGTAGCTCAGGAGCTACAAAACGTTGCGGGCTGTTGTGATTTCTGACAATATGCTACTGTTACAGCCGGCTGGCTAGCTACTAAGTATATTAACGCTTGCATGCAACATAATCCATCCTTTCCAGCTGGCAGTGCAAAGTCAGTCGTTCATGGCTCGCTGCATTTTATCAATAGCTAATACTCACAATGTATGATGGAACGAATGGAATAGAATACATACATCCTAGCTACATGGTGTTAATGTGGTAAACGTTGCAGTTGCGATGAACCCCCCCCCCCCCGCCCAAAACGACATTGTTGTAATGCAACATCTAGCTACCTACCTAACAACACTGTATAGAATGCCGCTATACTGCATGCATAAATTAGATTTATAAGCAATATGCTTGCAACAACAAATTAGCCAGCATGCTCTGGTGAGTCACAGCTGAGTCTGTGTGACATCTGACTGCCAGCCGCAGAAACCCAATGGCATCCTCTCTGTCAGGAACACATAAATTACATTGAAGCCGTGACTTTATAAATAGGTTTACAATGCCTGCCAGCTCCATCACGGTAGTTGTCAATACAGCACAGTATGTATGTATGTATTGTACAGACATAAAGGTTCAGTGTCATTGAATGTTCACCCCAGCTGTGGATAGAATATATTTTTGTGCTTCTTTGCAGTTGATATATGAGAGCTTTACCAGGTATCTGGTAGAGCATAAAGACTATGACAAGGACCTTCTTATATTGACCCCTGCTTCCTGGGATTTCTGGTGAGTCATAAGCAGCAGCAGCAGAATGACTGAAGAAAATATATACTTTTTCTATAAGCTGTAATCATTAATGACTGTGGTGTGCCATTGTAAATTCAGTCTACCTGCATGCATCACTCCACTACTGTGAATGACTACCCCATTTTTCAGGTTAGATAAAGGGCACTTTTTGAAAACGAAAGGCATTGGATGAATGCATGGTGCTCTGGTGAATATCGCTTACAGATTCGTATTGTTATTGCTTAGCATAGGACATTGATCAACACGCTTGTTCTTTGCCAATGACCACTATGAAATGTGTATTCTGTATGTCCAGTTTCAAAGGCTTAGTGGTAGACCTTGAGGATGGAAACTTGGTTAAATTGGCTGAAGATGGAACTGTTTTACGGTAGGGTTACAGTAAATGATACAGTTAAATGCATGCTCAGATATTGGGTTCCTTTTATATTTATATAGGAAAATGCCTGTTTTGAAGTGTATCAATGTACAATATTTGGGCATGCCTTTTTGTTACTTATTTTTCCACCCAAAATGAATAAAAACCCTGATTTTAAACCTGTTTGTTTTGATCAGAGCAACCCATGGGACCAATAACCTCAGCACAGAAGAGCTCATTAAACATTACGGTTCTAAAAGGGAATGGAAGCACTTTAATAGCCTTAATACCTCATTTACGAAATCTAGTAAGTCTGTCATCTTGAATCTCTGTGTCCCATCCAAACGTTGCGAAAGCTGTTTTTTTTTCTTTCTTTCTTTTTGTAAGGCAGTTTATTTTTCATGATAATACAATCTTCTGAAAAAAATCTAATTTTATTTCCAAAGTAAAGAGTGATGATTGATTGGATTGTTTCTTACAATACATATATTCTGTTTTATTCTCCTCAGCAAAGTACTATTTTTATGACAACTATTTTGATCTACCTGGGGCTCTTCTCTGTGGAAGGGTTGTGGATATGTTGCGTAAGGTAAAATATACATATTTTTAAGTGAATTATGATTATGAATAGATAATATGTTTACATGCTTTTTACAAAAAATGTATCTGCTTTCAAGAACATTATTTTGTTTTTGTCAACAGCGTGGGAATGAGGTGAATTCAGACTTTTGGAAAGACATTGTTGCTGCCATTGACCACAATTACAACACATCTGCGTTTAAAGGTATGCTTATTACTTATTTTACAATCAATCACTTTCGGTTGTTGAAACAGTGCACCATATCGGAATCGCTCATTTAATTGGCCATATCAGTGTGCTGAAATAGTCAAAATCAAAACAATATTTTCAGTTTTGTACTGTAGACGGACACTCAACAACAAAAAAAGACAAAAGCATCAGTTTCAGAAATAACTTTATTCTTTACTTTGATCAGTAAGTTGAACATAGCATAATGCATCCTCAGGCATATAGTTGTTGTTGACATAATACTTTTTTTATGACTGTTTTTCATCCTGTGTGTTGCAATATCACACTGCTGGTTTGTTAAAGGTGTTGCGAACTGACTTAAAACATTGCTTAAAAAACAAGCATGATTTCCTTTGCATGTATATTACAAGACATGTATTAAAGACTTTGAAAACAAAAAAAATCTGCTGTAAATGTTACAGGCAGTCAAAGAGCACCATTTTGCGTATTCAAACTGTTTTGTATTCCTTGATCATTGTTTGCTGAATACTTGTGCATATACTGGGAAAGGGAATAGTGATAACAAACAATTGAATTCCAAAATTATATTCTTCCTCTCGTTTAATTTAAATGCCTCCATGAACTGAATGCCCTTCTTAATAGAATACTTGAGAGAATTGCTGCTCTTGCCTTTTCAGCCTTTTCAAAGACAAATTAACTTGTAGAATATTACATCAATCTTTTATTCTACAATGACAACTCAATCTCAATGGAAGTTGTGAATTGAACTATTTCTTTAAGTAGTTTCTTTAAGGTTTCAAGATTTTATTAGTGATTGTATCACGTTGAGGCAATCAGGAACCCAGAGAAAGAGCAGTGAACATTGTCGGCAGCAAAGACACCATTGGTCTCCTCATCAGGGACCTGAATGTAGACTTGGTCATGGGCATTCAGCATAAGGACAGTGCTGCCAGACAACTGATCCAAGAAGCCCTTGTTGTACTCATCGTATGAGAACATGATTGGCTCACCATTTTTGTACAGTGCCACCAATGCATTAGCACCATTAACATGCATATGGTAGGAGAAGTAATATAGACCTGGTACCTGGCAGGAGAAGATGCCAGTCTGGGGGTCATAGTGCTGCTCCCCATTGTAAATTATCTGGTTGAATGGAACGGGTGAACCCGCAGATGGGTAAGCCATAGTCAAAACAGCGCTGAAGGCAGACATAGGGGCCTTCATCATCTCATGATGAGGCATCATAATCTCATGGGACTTGATGGGCATGCTCTTCTCGTGATGGTAAACCATCTCACCAGGGGGACCAGGTGGGCCAGGAGGTCCCATAGCACCTGGGTTACCATCATGACCTCTGGAACCAGGAGCTCCAGGTGGACCCATAGGACCAGAAATTCCCTTGGCCGTCTGGCCAGCTGGGCCAGGTGCGCCGGGAAGACCTGCGTGACCCTTAAGACCTGGTTGACCTGTTGGACCTGAAGGCCCCACTGGTCCTCTTGGCCCTGAGACGCCGTTTTCGCCTGGTTTCCCTGGACCTCCAGGTGTGCCTGGGTGTCCCTTTGCTCCTGCAAGCCCATTTGAACCTGGCTGACCAGGAGCGCCAGTATGGCCCTGAGCTCCCTTGTTACCCTGATGTCCTGTAGCGCCTGTTGCTCCAGGAGGGCCTGCTGCCCCGGGGATACCTGACTTCCCTGCGTAACCCTGATGTCCCTGATCCCCCTTGGTTCCCTTTGCCCCTGGAGCTCCCACCATGCCAACCTCTCCTTTAGGTCCCTGTCCACCTGGTTCTCCCTGGAATCCTCTAGCACCCTGTGGCCCAGCTGGACCCATAAGGCCAGTAGCACCTGTTGCCCCAGTGTAACCTGTTGGCCCTGGCTCTCCTTTCTGACCAGTGGTTCCTGATGTTCCTGGTGATCCTCTGTCACCTGGCATGCCATTAGCTCCTGGTTTACCAACTCCTGGTATGCCAGGTGCACCTGGTTGTCCAGCATGTCCCTGGGGACCTTTAGATCCCATATTTCCAGGCATACCTGGACTGCCATTCTCACCTGGCTTTCCTGGTGCTCCTACCCCAGGGTTTCCATTGTGGCCCTTTGGCCCTGGCTGACCCATAGCTCCTGGAGCTCCATCCCTACCTGGAGTACCTGACTTCCCAGGCTCCCCAGGGTATCCAGGGGCACCAGACTTACCAACTCCGGGTTGCCCTGGCATACCAGATGGTCCCATTGGGCCCACTTGACCGTTTGCACCTGGTGCCCCAGGAATACCAACTCCCCTCTCTCCCTTTTGTCCTGGCAGACCAGGGATACCTGGATGTCCTTTAAGTCCGGGCTCACCCCTTGGCCCCATGCCTCCGGGCAGACCGTGTGGGCCAGGTTTGCCAGCAGAAGAGTGTCCAGCAGGTCCTGGGCTTCCAGGGGAACCGGGTGATCCTCTTGGACCCATGGCTCCAGGTGCGCCAGTATGGCCCTTCTCACCGGGCATTCCATTACTACCTGGTTTCCCAGAACCACCTGGATTGCCAGGCTTGCCAGCTGTGGAGTAGCCAGCGGGTCCGGGGGGCCCGGGTGGGCCCTGTTGTCCAGGATGTCCCATGCCGCTCTTGCCGGGAGGCCCAGGGGGGCCCATTGGTCCTGGCTCACCAGGGGATCCTGGAATACCTGGCTCCCCTGCAACAGCTGTGGAAATGGATAAGTGTAATTACCTAAGATGCAGGTAACAACTACAGTAAACTGTAATTGGTTTAGATTTAGGATATCATTTTTTCATCTCATTAAGTTTGTCAGAGTTTTGTTTTTCCAGAGTAGGTTATTAGATTTCAGTCAAGGTGAATTTAGCCAGTCCATTATCTGCTATCAAAGTATTCATGTAGTCCTGTTTTATTCTTAGTGCATCTGAAACATTTGTCTATTTCATTTTAAATTTAATGGAAAGATATATTTATGTATTCTCAGTGATGCCCCAAATGGATCTTAGATGTTTTGAAAAGCTGATGACTCTGATATCTGTGCCCTATTTGTATGGGTATTTATGAACAACTCTGCCATGCACCAGTTGTTACACCAATTGATCCAGTCATGTTTGTTGTGTCCTATTGAGTCCTGTTGCAAACATATAGCGTCGGGGGGTTTCCCTGACCTGACTAAACTACCATCTCTCAGATGTCCATCCTGTGCAAAATAGGATTCATAAAGCAAAGCATGAAATTAGATTATCTTGATTTTCAGTTGGAATATTTAGTCATTTTGCCTCTGCCTGTCTTTGCTCCATATTTTTATTGACATTGTTTAGTCACATCCATTTATTTCTCTCTTAGACCACTTGCATGTCAATTGGTTCCTTTGATCCTTGAATAACCTCTGCTTTGGTATTCCACTCAAACACCACAATGTGATTTAAACAACAGAGGCTCCGTGATCATGGAGGGAGGTTGTGGGAACTGACTGCTTTTCCCAGGGTCATCTTGACAGCACCAGTGGTCTGAGGATATGTTCATATAAACACTGGGGTCCTTGGACAGTGCTCAGCATGTTGAGACTACATTAGACTACTGTAGCCATTTCTTTTAGTTTAATTTGGCCACACTATGTTGAACCCTTTTATTTTCACAAGTTGTCTGTAGTGCATGTTTATGGTTAGTGGTCCTCCAGTTGTTGATGTATGTGCGTCACCTTGAACCCTTTATTCCTCTTAATGTGGCCTTTGTGAGGCAGTAGAGAGTAGGTCATATGACGGGAAAGATACACGTCATATTGGGATATGATAGTTGTTGAAATGTGTGGCACCTGGCCTAGGTCCTGAAATGCTGAAGGGATATTTTTATCCCTGTGTCTTTGAGAGGTTAGCCCACAATACTTCAACACCTTTACCTATACCAATAACTTTCCTGAAGCCATGTTGTTTGTTGCATATTATGTCAAAATTGCATATTATGCCTAACATTTTGTATAACCATTAGTATAATAGTTCAGATATCAGAATTCAGTCCATAGTGGTCAGTATTTGCCTTATACTGTAGCTTGCCTGCATCTCTGAGAAGTTATGACCCTCCCCCCCCCGAAGTTATGACCCCCCACCCACACACTTTTGACTGACGTTAATAAAGGGAAACTGAGTTTCCTGTTAGATATAAAACTTCAAGGCACTAGCAGTTATTAACAGTTTTTATTAATTAATTGTATTATTAAAAGTGATTTTATAATTTACTGGCAAGGCCGTTGCTCCTCAAGTAATGTGTGGTGTGGTATTGCCATGGTGTAAGGTACTGATACAGAAGTCAATAGGAAACATTTTTCTACAGTGACTGAAGTGGATTTGATGCATGATTTGTAGAAAAGCACTTTTCCTGCTTTGGAATAGCACTTTGATAACAAAATGGCCAGACAGGGCTGTAATTTGAAAGCCACTGAGGAGTAGGTTTGAAACCCCAGGAAAGCAGAATGTGCCAAAACTGGACAGTTTCAGCAGCCAAGTCAAACCTCAGAAACTGGAAGGTGATAATACTGTGGCATAGCCAGCTGTTCAACCTTGACTTGTCTAGTTAGGCCTAGATCCTATGTCTATTGCCAGCCTCAAACCATACATAGTTCTATATGTAGGCTATGCCATGGCTCTCACATTATACATCCTGAGGGTGTATATCAGACTTACTATTTTATTTATTTAAGTTTATTTGCATTTTTGTCTACTCTACTTTGGGGTGTTTGTTTTGAGAAGTGTCTGGGACAATTTAAGCACTACAAAGTGGTTTGATTGGGTGTGCCCAATGCAACGTGGTAACATCTGTTTTGGAGATTTTTCCAAAATCTAAGCTTTCATTGTTGACTTGTGGAAAAGTTTTGTATTTATGTCAGAGGACACCGGCCATAAAAAAATGCATCGAAACATCTTAAACAAAGCTACTGAGTGCCGTAGTCTGGTTGAGCGACAACACTCATCTCTGGACCATATTCTTGACAGAATGGTCCCATCTCTGCCATTTTGTCAAGCCCCACTGTCTTACCCTCTATACTTTCCCCGCTGTCTTCTGAGCTTTCTCCTAAAGATAGGATAGTAGGATATTTAGTAGGATATTTAGTAGGATATTTCAATTTTTCAAGAGTGACATGGAATCTTGAAAGCAGTGTTATGTGGAAGCTAGCAACATTTAACTGGTGCATTGGTGCTCTTTTTATGAGGCGTACATAAGTGATAATTGCCCCTGGCTCTCACTTCTACAGAACCTCTGTGGTCTGACTGTCAGCATTGTTGCAGGAGAATGGTTATTATCTTAACTACTGTAATCATATTTTTATTATCCACTTTCTGTTGATGAATGACTGTGTCCTGTCTTGGGAGCTGTGGAAGGATGCATGGGCCCACGGTTTCCTATTGCTTAACAACTATGGTCAGGTGAAAACCCTCAACAAATTTGACTGAGACATTGCCTCAGGTTGCATCAATAAGTCAGTTTAAGTTACTTGTTCCCCTGTAAAGGATAATGTGCTATCAATCCTGTTTCATAAGATAAGTATGTAGAGATTTAATACTCTACATTTGTGAGTGTTCTAGTAGCAATTAACTTCCGCAGTAATGACAGTTTAAATGTAAATTGATGCTGTATATTCTGCAATTTTACATTGATTAATTAGCTGAAATAACATTTTATTTTGATATGTTTATTTGTCCATATCCCAAAAGCTTTTTTTTTACCATGCTGTGCTTAGTTCCATTTGTTAAAGCTATATGGAGTTCAAAACAGCCATGTTTCTTCCAGTTTGACATTTGGGGTCTGCTTGCACCCAGTATTTTCCTTTTGGCACTGACAGCTATTAGGTGGCCAAGAAAAACTCCTGACCCTAATGACAAACCTCCAGTACAGTCTAGAATTGGAATGAATGAAACCTTCCATAAACCTTCCAAGAGAATGTACCATAAAGCTGATACAGAATTATCTTCAGAACATTAACATGCTGATAGACATGAATATATTGAGACTTACTTTGGACATGGCTCTTAGCAGGATAATGCTGCTGCTTGGCTACTTTCTGTACATGGTAGTGTCTCTCTGGTGTTGCCACGGCCAAGGCCACCAGGAGGAGGAGAACGCTTGTCACTCTGAGGTCCATCTTGTGAAGCTAAACCTGCAAGAAAGAAATGTAGAACAAAATGTTAAAATGTGAATGGTCTTCAACATACAGAGACACTACACTGGCGTCTACTGTATTTCTCTTACAGTAGATTTGTTATTGCCACTACAGCAGGACCTGCAACAACAAACTAACATTTCTGTGTCAGAATGACAAGAAACAAGCACAGTAAGGAACATTACGGACCCCAAATCTTTAGACAGACTTCCAGAGCTACCTCAGATTCAGACTCCCATGTATGGGTCATCCCTTTCATCGCCAAGTGAACCATCTCATCACAATGATAGTTAAGACACATGCTATGAGGACAACTTGAGGCCAGATGACACCAGTACCTACTGCCCCAACCTGTTCCTCAACCATGCCCCAAACTGCCTCCCCCAAGACCCCAACTGCCTCCCCAATGGCCCCCTGCGCACTATATACCTCACAGCACCAGGCACAGAGGGCCACACTCACATACACCCAGAGAGCAGACTAGAGAGTGCGGGCAGGGTACACCTACCAGCAGGCTTAGGCTCCAAAAGATCAGTGGGGGTCGGGAGGCTGCTGTCCCGGCACGGTGCTGTATAGTCCTTAGTCTGGCTGCTGCTACCCAGGCCACTGGGCTCGGGGTATTTATACCAAATCTGTCTCCAGCATCACCCAGAATCTACCTAGTATAAAAGCACCGCCCTGTTGTGATGTCAGCTTTAATGAGGGGTGCCATATCCTCAGAGAGAGAAGGCATGTCACTTCAGGATAATAATCCTCTCATAGCATTTAAAATAACCCACAGCTCCTCCCTCACCCATCCATCCTCAATTGAGCGGGACAGAAAGAGATTTAATTCAGTTAAAGATAAATTGTTATATTTTTGTCTCTGAACTCTTTGACATTTGTGGGTATATGTGGTTGTATGTTCAAGTCGTAATAATGCACAGAGCTATATGGGTATTTACTTTGATTATTTGATGTCTTTGACATCTTAATTGCTGTGTTTTTAGATTAATTAGAAAAACAACATAAGTGTTCCCTTCTTCTACCCAGTTATACATATTTTCGACTGCTCAAATACAGGTGCTGGGGAACATTCATTGTCTCCAAAATATTTTTTTTGACAGAGTGAGCATTTTACTCTGGAAAATTAAAGACTGTCTGTACTTGTGCTTTTTCCTCCTGTCACCCCATGCGGTCCCTCTCTGTAAAAGTAAATAACACGGTGGATGGCCCAGACCATTGAGTCCTTATGGAGGGAACTTCCAGGCAACAGTGAAGTTTCAGCCTTGTACACTTGTCAGTACGCAAACAAATATGTTGCTCTCTTAACAGGATTTTTATGTCAGATTGTGTATGAATTGTGGTAGCAAAATCAATACAGTATATCAGCTTAATGGACTCTGGTAAACATGAGTTATATGTATTTACTGGAGAGCTAAATTGTTTCAACTGTATGTGGTGTAGAGTGCACACAGCGGTACTGTGCCTCCACTGAGCCACAATGCAAGATGGGTACACCAGAGGGCAGAGTTTAGTTTCTGTCCTCAGACCTCTGGTGGTCTGGTTTTCTCAAAGGTCCACCATTGTCTCCTCCTTCAAATTATTTAATGAAAGTCTACCCTGCACATTTGTCACATTTTGCTGCCTTAAAATGTAATCTTAAAATGTATCTACACAACCTGCTCCACATTTTCAAAGTGAAAGAAAAAGTATAGAACATTTTTCACATTAAAAAAATAAAAAGTAAATGCAGATGTCTTGTATTTTCAAGTAATGTGGTGGCAGCATCATGTTATGGGCATGCTTATCACAGGCAGGGAATGGAGAGTTTGCCAGAATCAAAATAAATATGAAAGGACCAACACCCAGGTAAAAAGTTATAGGAGACGCTCTCTCAGTCTTCTGAATACCTAACCCTGGGATAGAGTTTTATTTTTCAGTGGGACAATTACACAAATGTTAATGCCAAAGACACACCAGAATGGCTTTCCAAGAGGTGTTGAGTGTTCCTGAGTGGTATAGTCTCAGTCCTGATTTAAATCTGTTTGAAATTCAGAGACAAGTTTTTGATATTGCTGTCCATCAATGATTCTTAACCTAATTTACTGAGCTTGAGCAATTTTGACAAAAACAATGGATATGTTGCCGCAATAGTTGTGCAGAGTTATTCAAAATAATTCACAGCTGTAATCACTGCCAAAGGTGCTTCCACCAAGTATTAACTCTGGGGTGTGAAGACATACGCAATCAATACGTTTTTTATTTTATTTTTATTTAGAAAATGCTTTATACTATTTCTTTCTCTTTGAAAATGTGGAGCAGGTTATGTAGATCTGTAGGAAAAAAATCTAATGTAATCCCTTTTTAGATTTAATTTTAAGGTGACAATGTGAGAACAGCGCAAAGGGCTTGTTGACTTTTACTAGGCACTGTATCTACTCTTATCTATTTTTATGTGCAGTACCTAGCAACTGTGCTTTGTGACGTCACCACGGGCTAGTAGGAAATGCCTACTCCCCAAATAATTACATTGTTATTACATACAATGTCAAGATAGCCTTAGATTTTGTATACAGAAGCTGTGCCTCAAATTGCTCCTTTTGTATATTTTGTTTCTGTCGATCTCCTTATCTGCAGTATTGATCTATGTTCTTCTTTGAGTGGTTTTGCACCTGTTAATCCTTGCCAGCTCAAGACTGAAATGGGCTCGAGGATGTGTTTTAGGTTTCTAAAAATCTAAATAGTGTGTGCTTTTTTTCGACATATCATTTCCAACTTTAATTTTTACAGGCCGCAGAAGAAAGCCAATCGAGCCACCGGGCATCCTTGGTAAACCCCTTTAGTTAAATGACAGAGTTGAAAGAGGTGGAGTCGACACTTAAAAATGTTGCAGGCTCCAGTCCCTCCATCACACTTTCCCTATGAAAGCAGTGTGGACCGCACAGTGGCAATGTGTTTATTTTGTATTTTGGGTCCACGATTTTTTGGTGTGTCAGGATTCATTCCTCCCTATCTAAAAGCATACTGTGTAATTTAATGCAAATGATTGCCTAGACTAGAGGCACCTGAATAGAAGTGCACTGGAAATACCTTGTGGAGAATGAAAGGAGAAGGACTAGGTCTTACAGATAGTTTTTGTGCATGAGGATAGAAGATAAACACCTTCAGGATCACTCTATTGTACTAGTCATCAGTTTTGCATTGTGACACTGGGGCCTGTTGCGAAATGCATAAGCATTGGCCTTTTTACAATAATCATTGGTCACATCATATACATCGCCTCGTAGAACACTGTCACTGATTACTGCCGAGGTGTGGTGGTCTCTCAGGTGCTTATAGCTGCCGAAGCATCACCCAGGTGGGTGCTACACTTTCGGTGGTGGATGTTCCAGCCTACCTACCTACAGAGGAGGAGTAGCCGTGAACTTCAGAGAAAGAGGTGCCTGATGAAAAGTTCCAGACCTGGCTGCCTGTTTAACTGATGTTTCTCCCTCCCTGGCTTTACCATCGACGCCACCTCCACTCAAGCCAGTTACTCCTTTACTGAACTGCATCATCATCTGGCTGTGGAAGACCATCTCCCATGAACTGCCAGCTCCCTGAATCGTTTTTTTAATTCAATTTTTTAGAAGCGACTTTGACATTCTGTATGAAAAGCGCTATATCAAATAAATCAATTATTATTATTATTATTATAGCACACCTGAACCACTTAATGATGTGGTGGTATTCCGAGTCAATGAAAGCCTCTGGATCTCCATTTGTTGCGTAGTGCTGAGGTTGAAACTGTAGAAGAATATGCAGCTTCTCTCTCCAGACGTGACTAATTCCCTTTCATTAGTTTTAATTACTATGATAATGACTGGAATTCTCACACAACATAGAAAATGGGGCCAACCGTTTACCCCATTATCTTAGTATGTGATACAGGCATACTGTAGATCAAATCTGCACTCTGCTATTATTTCTTTCACATTAGTAAGCACTAGGCAGATGTCTTAAATCTAGGCTAATTGATAGCTGAATCTTTTTCTATTCGTTTGAAATGGTCTTTTGCATTCATGTTTTATGTCTGGTGTGCAAAATACCTACTGCTTTTTGTGGTCTATTTATTCTCATGGGTAAAGTTGGTAGACTGGTGGCTGGGACTACAAATAAAGTTAAGGCATTTAAAATCCTATGATGGGCAGTTCAGACAAAACCCAATGATTTATAGCATTGTGTGTTAGATTTATGAAATGTATGATTTTGCTAAATTGCCATACAAATGTTGTCATCATAATTGCCATCATAATTGTCATAAAATCATCATTAATTTTCCCTGGGCTTGTCTTTGCTGCCCAGGTTCTTTGAATCATTGATGTTGGGGTTGCTTCAGTTTCAGAGTGCTGGGGAAGGCACAGTCTGGGTGAGACAGATCCATTTAGTCTCTGTTAAGAATCTCTCTCCTCTGTTTGTTCCCAGTGATTTGAGGATGCCACGCTGCCTGAGAGAAAGAAGGAAATAATTGCAGGTTGATGATATGACTAAGCTAGCTAGAGGAGTGGAAAGTGGGAGTCTAAAGATGGCATGTTTTAGCTGGGAAGTGGCTGGGATACAGATTTAACATTTTAATAAACCCAATATGCCACTAAGAGGCGGTTGCAGCTTTATGAATGGAAGGATGATGTTGGCGCTCCAGGCTGAGTGTGGGTGCAATTATAGAGACCCGAAAGACAAACGTCTCGAAATCACGGTCAGAAGCAGAACCGACCAACCTGAGGAGGCTGAGGTTGTTTCAAAATAGGAACCCGAAACCCAAAATGCATCCCTCCTGACTTTTTAGTAGTCATTTTAAGACGTAAGTATTTAAATAGAGAAATTACTGAAAAGCTGGTAATCTGAGAAAGAGGGGGAAATGTAGGCCAAAAGTGTTCAATGTTTTATTTTTCTTGCTGAAGCCTGAGAATGTTTCAAATCAGATTTGGTTCCAATTTTAGGCTCTCATTGAGGACCAGGTAATGGGTGGG